AGGTCCCCATAAATCATAGAAAACAAGTTCAAAGGGAGTATTGTACTGCGTATTCGAAGTTGAAAACGGTAGCTTATGACTTTTCCCATAAAGCAAGCTACACATGTTTTATTAACATTTGGATCAATCTTTACATCAATGTCTTTGGCAATTTTATTCATTGCATAGCTAGCTGGGTGTCCTAAGCGATAGTGCCAAAGTTCCAACTGTGACAAACCAGTAGATACAAGGTGAGCAGCAGCATCGTGCACTCCTACACGCTTGCAGTCAAGTGTAAAAGTATACAATCCCCCTTTCTCATCACCTTGCAAGAGTATTTCCTTTGAAAGCTCATCTCGAACATAACACTTCCCAGCATGAAACTCCAAATACACAGCATTGTCCCTAGCAAGCTTAGAGACCGAAAGCAAGTTTTTGGTTATCCGAGGCACATGCAATAACTCATTAATCAACAAAGCTATTGAAGTAGAGTTAACTACCGAACTACCAATGTTTCTTATGTTAAGGGGAACTCCATTTCCCACAGTGAGCTTACCTGAGCCTCGAAACTCAACAGGATTGGAGACATTTGCTGCATCGGGTGTTACGTGGTGCGTTGCTCCTAAGTCAACCACCCAGTGATCAGCAGATTTGAATGTAACATTGGCTTGTGACTGGTTTGCTCCTTGATACCGTGCTTGACAACAATCACAGCTCATATTTGGAGTTTCAGCAACTGCATAACGAGCATTAGCAGCCTGTCCTTTGTGAGATCGTAAGTCAGAAGTGACACACATAAAATCCTCATCAAAGCGATGCCAACAACGATCAACTAGGTGACCAAGTTTCCCACATAGCTGGCACTGGATCTTGGCTCTTCCTCGACCACGACTGCCCGAGCTGGTACCAGTATTGGATCGTGAATTCTTGGATTCATGGCGATCACTTTCAACAGAGTTGCGATCATCACGTCGAAGAGCTATATTAGCACTCATGGGAAGCGAATCTTGTTCCTCATCGAAACCAGCCAGTTGGGCTTCAGCATCAAGCAGGACTGTGTACAAACTGTCCAAAGAGAGTGTCTCTTTTATTGTAGTGATAACAACCATAAAAGGTTGGTATTCCCTGGGCAAGCCTTTCAATACACTAGAAATGTGGCCAACATGGGAGACTGCACTGCCACACGAGGCAAGTGTATCGCACACCTCTTTTACTTTAGTAAGGTAGACACACATATTGTCATTACCTTTCTTGAGCGATTGTAGTTTGCAATGCAAACTCATTGCAGCTGTCGTGGATCTACTCGCAAATAGTTGTTGCATCGTAGTCCACACTGCAGCAGCTGACTCAGCCCCAACGAACTGTGGAAGAAGATGAGAGCTGATGGTGGACAGCAGCCAGGATGCAAGCACATTGTCTTGCGCCACAAAATCTTCAAACGCCTCATTCACGCTCACCTCACCATTGGCACCAACGATCGTTTCTGATGGAGGCTTCAAGGCACCGGACAGGAGTTGTTCAAGACGATGGCTCCGAACAGTCAAGAGGATTTGTTGCTTCCATAGTAGAAAGTTCGTTTCGTCGAGAACTACATTGATCTTCTTATGCGAGAAGCTCTTGGTTGATTCCATAACCAATGGAGATTACGAAGCAGTAGAGATAAGACTAGAGAGCCCAAGAACGTTGGCGAAAGATATCATATTAGAAAGGATATAAGCAAATCATTTAGTACTGGAATCACACATTCTTCATTCATCATGGCTTGCTTATATACACTGCTGTAACAAGCTCTTAACTGCCTCTTAACAGCCTAACAACCTACACAACCGCTCTAACAGCTTGGCTTAATAGCCTAACAGCTTAACTAACTACATCACCTTAGCTGGCCAAATACTAACATGTGTAAACCAGTTATATTAGTCTAACACGAATATATGTTTCATCTCTTCCCCCATTAATAAACACCTTGACCAACAGTTCCGCAACCTTCACCGCTGCAACCTTCACCTCGCTCCCACCGCCAACTACCGTCCAGGCGTGCCTATGCTTCCCCACAACAGCTCTCTCACTCTCACCCTTCACGACCGCCACACTGTATTCCTTAGTTTTCCCGCCAAAAACTGAGGCCAATCTCTCATCAACCGCATCGTCATCGTTCTAAACAAATCAGTGGCGGTAATCGATCCACACGGGTAAGAACTCGAGTGTGGAGATGAGGTTGGGCTGTGGAGGCAACGGGGTCCTAAATCCACAGTAACAGAGAGGGTATAGTTGTCGGAGCATTTAGGGTTATGAGAGGTCAATTTGGTAATTTCGACTAGGATTGACCGACGGAGGTGATCTGGATCAGAATCGAATCCGACGAAAAGGGCGCAGAAATGGAGCGGGTAGAGCAAATTATCGGATCGTAGCTGAGTAGAGAGCGAGTCGATTTCGAGGAACGACAGAGGAGAACGGTAGATTTCGACGGATTTACATAAGAATGGGAAACCTGCAAATTCAATACAAAAAGACTCGTTTATTTATTAAGAGAACAAAGGGACGAATTTAGAATCAAAGCTGTGCCAGAGATATGTAGGCGGACCAAGGAGGAAGGAGAAGATGACAGAGAAGGTGAGAAAGAGGCGCTTCAATCCGGGTTCGGTTTTACGCATTTACTTCGGGTCGAAGTCTGGTTCAGATTCGGGTCGCTGTGGTGCTTCACTACAATTGTCTTGTAATTTAGAGAAATCGGAGTCGTTAGCTTCTGAGATTTCGGCCATTCCTAGAGAAGCTGCTGCTGCACTTTCTTCTGCTCTGCACTCTGAAATTACTGAACTTGGACAGTTGACCTTCGGAGATTGATCTTGTGTAAGCATAATTTTGTAATGTTTGGAGAAAAGAAAAATGTGAGCCGTCTTAGCTCAGCCATTAGAGCGCATGGTTTTTAACCATGTCGTCGTGGGTTCTCGATACCCACAGACGGCCTTTTTGTTCTTTTTAGTGGAGCTGGAGCAAGCTTCCTCTATTTTCTGTTCGCTCCTGTTGGTCGCTAAAATGCAGCCTCCTAAATGGCGAAATCATCTTAAACCTCTCCTCTTAGCCTGAAATCTATAGCTGAAATCCACGCTTCACGATTCTAACCGGCTTTTATTTCATCCATAGAAAATCCGTTGGCAATTTTATAGCATCTTAGGCGGAATTTGGCGACATCTTGTGAGCTTGTAAAGTGTTTGATAAATTGTAAAGTAGATGTGTAGATTCATGGAATGCGATTATCATTACCTATTTTCGTAAATTTTTTCCCATAACATCAGATAATTCTGGAAGGCACTAGGCCTGACAGCTCCACTTTTACCATGGCTATTAAGGCCTGTGTTAGCTTGATGGACATGGAAATGGGGGAGGATATTTGGCGTAAAGCTGTGGATTTTGGATATCTAAATGATGTGTTTGTAGCGTCTTCCATTTTGAATTTGTATGTGAAGTGCGGGAAAATGGATGAAGCGGTGGTGGTGTTTAACAAGATGCCAATGAAGGATCTTGTCTGTTGGACTACTACGGTAATAGGATTTGTGCAGAGTGGGGGGGGCAAGTGAAGCGAGTGATTTGTATAGAGAAATGAGATGGCAGGGATTGAAGGAGATGGTATTGTGATGTTGGGGTTGGTTCAGGCATCTTTATATCTTGGGGACTCAAAGTTGGGACTGGCAATTCATGGATATATGATTAGGAAATGTCTCTCCATGGATGTTCTTGGTTGAGACAGCATTCTCAATATGCTTTGCGTGTCTTCAAGAAGATGCCAAGTAAGAATGATATTTCTTATGGTGCATTGATTTCTGGCTTTATGCACTGGAATTGTTGGTAGAGATACAGGGTTGTGGTTTTAAACCAGACTCAGTGCTCTTATGGCATGTTCACAATGTGGGTTGTTAAAATTGGGTAAATCTGTACATGGTTGAATCACTAGAAGGCTTGATTTGGAACAAGTTCCGGGCACTGCAATGATTGACGTGTATGCAAAATGTGGATTGCTTTCTTATGCTGTTGCAGTCTTTGATCGGATAGTTTCCAAAGATATGATCTTTTGGAATGCAATGATTGCCAGTTATGGAGTACATGGGCATGGAAAGGAAGCTCTATCGCTCTCCTGTCAGTTGACAAACATGAGCTTAAAACCTGTTCATGCAACTTTCACTGCACCTCTCATCTCTCCACTCAGGACCGGTGAATGAAGGTCGATACTGGTTTAATCATGGGAAGCCATCAAAATGGAAATGGCTGCAAAGGTCTTTGAGTTAAATTCAGATGACTTGGGAATTCATGCATTGGGCTGAAATTTCTTTGCCAAGGGAAACATGTGGAATGAAGTAGCTGCTGTAACGGTAAGGAAACTCATGAAAGACCCCGGAAGGAACGTACCTGGCTACAGTGTCCTGGATGTGAACGGGAAGCTCCCTGGTTTCCTTATGAGAGATAAAACCCACCATGAATACGAAGCGATAGCGTTTGCATTGGATAAATTGAACCGTGAGATGATTTTCATGGTCAAATGAAGGGGCTTCCTGTTGCTTTTGGCCTCTCAAACTCAACTTCATCGAACCTCACTGCTGGTCATGAGAAACTTTAAGGTGGGTGAGAATGACTATTCGAACCAAGTTTGATCGTTGCAAGGACCATATATGAAGGATTATTGCAGGAACTATAAAGCAGGTTCTTCACTCCAAACTGTCAAAACTGCCTTCATCCTTCATCTATGCAGCAAAGAAATCGAGCATCTTAAATTATGTTCTTCCTTTAAGATTGTACATATGCAAGTACTCCTTTCTATCCCCTCTTTTGTTTTGACATTTTAGAAAATTAAAGCATTGTGTTGCCAACTTTTTTATGTTTTAATTTTCACTTTTTTGCTGAGCAAAGTTAATATGGTGGTAATAGCAAACTCCATTCTGCTTTTGACAATTTCAGCAAATGGGCACTGCAGAAGAAATTTGAGAACCAAATACTTATTGTTGATTGCTTCTTAATTAGCTTTTTAGTATTAAAGTAAATTATGCTTAATAGAGCTAAATTTAGTTATGTCAAACAATTAAAATTTCAAGAGTTACAAAAATTTTCAACAATGCAGAGATCTACTTCCCCCCACTGCACAGATCCCTTTAGTCTCTTTAAGAAACATCAACAGTACCCTAACTTTTTCTTTTCACCCAGCCCTTCAAAATTTCCTCAACTCTTGTATCCCGAAGCATGATTCTGAAGGTTCTGGTTATCTTCTAATAAACGATCATATTCAAGTAGCAAATCTGCAGATTGCTTTTGGAGAGCAGCAACATGCGCTTCGGCAGTTTCGATCTTCTTGTCTTTCTCATCAGATTCCGATTTCAGCTTCTTCAGATTCTCTGATAGAATAGAGATTTCTTCTTTTAGTAGCTTTATCTCCTTGGAGGCTTTGTCATCCGTATCTTTAAGCTGCGATCTTTCTTTCTCGAGATGTTCGAGTTCCTCTTTTGAAGATCTCACCCTAATCCTTAACCCAATAAGCTTTTTAATATAATGGTGCATACGATCAATTATGAAACCGAGCAACAGGGTAAAACCTACAAGATCAAGTTCAGACAATCACAATTATGTACCAATACCTCTAAACAAAAGAATAAAAAGGTTCTTCATTTCACTTGATATTACAAGCTTGAAGATTTTTCAGTTTATAATTGATGACTGAGCAATTCTCTTCAATTTTCAGCTCACCGATTCATGTATCGGAAAGGAAAAGATTTAACTTCTAGAAATCCTCAAGTTTTTTGTCAGAAAAATCACCATGTCATAAACCCAAAGGCCATAAAGCTATGAAGGGTGATATATTGACACATTTTTATATTTCCAAATTCCGGACATAAAAGTGTTGCACACGCATTATTTAAGCAATGACAAATAAAGATCTCTACACCTCAAAACAGGGTACATAACTACATATCCAGATTGGTTAGTGAGAGTCTAATCGAAACCTTATCATAAAAATTTCATGAAATTGAACAGATATACCAGATGTTAGAAGCCTTCAGCATTTGATCTCGTTGTTAGAACAGTTCCATATAAAACTCTCTTCCACTCCAAGCACTTAATATTTGCAGATAAAATAGCGATTTTCTTTCCCTAAACACCTTGAACTAAGAACAATGCATATAATAAAGCTTCAAACTGTTTAATTTTAAGCAAGGTTTTTATCACAAGACATCTTAAACTTTAATTTGGTATCCACTGTAAGTATAACCTTAGCGTATTTAATCCAGAATTAACAAATGGTTAAGAAGGGATTATGATGTGAGAACATACTAGTTACTAGACCCGGTAAAGTTCATAGTGACAAAAGTCTTGTCAGCTATATTACATATACACGCTTCTTCAATCCAACTGCTTTTAGTTCTACATGATCCGCAAAGACAAAACAAATGTAGCAACGCTAGATCGTATATATCGTGTTATTTGTAGCATGTAGCAACTGATAACAGTGTTAACTCCGTAATTGCAAAGGTTTGGTTACTCCATTTTTTTTCAATGGAAAGCCAACAATTATGAATCCATGAATTTCTCAAACAGCTGATGGCTCAATAAAGTCTAGACAAGAGTAAACTGGTTAAAGGTCCACCAAGAGATAGAATCGTTAAGTGAACCATTAGGGTAAATATCGGAAACAATAACTACACCATAATTATTGATGGATATATGGGTTCATAGGAATGAGGAAAAGAACAACGAATCCCGTACGACTGAAATAACCAAACACTATGCACAACAAACCTCCAAAAGGCCTTGAGTTCAAATCCGCATCAACTATTGAATACAAATTTGGCTTCATTTTCCAAAATGCTCTAATGACTTATCGAGCAAATGGACCTTCAATCACACATTTCAAAAAGCTACATATCTGACGGCTTGAACACTGAATGGTGCGCCATGAATCAATATCTAGAACATTCTACTGTCAGCGAGTGACCATGTACTAAGCCTACTGATTCTTCTTTAAGAACCATTGACAAAAATTCTCATTAAAAGATTAAAGCACCCCTAATTTCCGTATGCAGAAATCAACTTAATGAGTCAATATAGGTAATCAGGTACTAAAACTTTATAGCTTATGTACCGGACTTCATGATATGTTAATATAATAGCATTGCTCTCCCTGATACATAATGTTATCCCCAAATGCAGATAGATGAATTAATCAACGACCTAGTGCAGTTACTCTCGCCTATATAGTATACCCCCGCAGTTGTCCTAAGCTGCAAAGGTTGTTAGCATAGTTTCAACAACTACATTTCGAGTGTTTTCCAAGTCCTTTCCGGTGTTCATTAGATATTAAGAGTTATTTCCTATTATTTCAGTTGATTAAGCACAACCTTAAAACCAAAGGTACCAATCAACATTGTAGAGGCTAAAACAGGCAATAATTGAACAGTCGAACAAAAACAAAAAATTACTAACAGATGAATGCCAAAACCCAATGCGGGGAATGAAAAAAAACAGGAAAAAAAGAAGAAGAAGCGGAATCCTACCAATGAGTGAAGCTTCAAGCAAGTGGGTCCTCCATAGAACCTGATCCATAGGTGACATTGTTCCGAGCTTCGCACCCTTGTTCTGGATCTTGACAATGCTCATGAGACTCGACAAAAGGATCACAGACATGGTACCAGCAATAGTTTTTACGGTAGCTGGACCTTTCCCCATCTTTATTTGATCTAAGCTCTTTACGACAAGCTCCCTTAAAGGCTCAATCTTCACCAGTAGAAGGAACGCCATTACACCCTCAGCAAAAAGGACCAAGAACAATAACTGAATCATCCTAAAACACTTGATTTTGACTCAATGGTTATCGATCGTTCATCAGGTAAAGTTAAAAGGGGAGGGAATCGGTATTAAAGAGTGTGATTTCTTGGTTCTGGTAGTTGGTTTTTAGTTTCTCTACAAGAAATCGAAAAAACCCATTTCTGTGAACTGAGTGAAGTAGGATTTATCGTTGGAAAAACTGAAAGATGAATACATTTAGCCCTAGTGTAGAAAGGAAGAAGCTCTTTTGAAGAAACTTACTAGTGTTTTTGCTTTTTTTGGTCTCTTTTCCTTTTTACTTCTTCAGCAGCTGAGTTGATTCGTGTTATATTTTTATGAAGGCTTAATAATAAAATAAGTGTAAATTATATTATTATTTTAAATAGGTATTTAAATTATATTATTTTTAAATATATACTTAATTTTTTTTTTATCATTTTAGTGTCTAACGCTATAAACATTATTATTTTAGTTATTCGAGTCATAATTGCTATAAAAAAACATATGTCACGTTCTAGTAATGATAAAATTTTATTTAAAATTAAAAAATGAAATTATATTTGGAAAAAAATACAATTTTTTTAATACTTTAAAAAACCTCAAAATTTTTGAATCTTTTAAAAATACTTTGAAAAACCTTAAAATTTTAAAAACTTTCGTTTTAACACATAAACCCACACCAGCCACCAACCTTTGTCTTGATGAAGCTCCACCCTACCTCCTCTCCCAAAAACCAATAATCCTATAAAATCGAGACCAATCAACATTTGTACCCCGTAAACTTTATGTTGAAAATTGTGATTTCGACAGTCAATCGGCGACAACTATGATAACGTATGACTAGAAAAATGATATAGACTATGTCAACGATAGTGATCGTGATCTGTAGGTTAGGTTTAGGGATTTAAATTTTTTAGGGATTTGGCGTTTTTATAATTTAAGAGAAATTAAGTTTTTTTATAAATATAATAATATTTTTAATTTTAAAAAAATAAAACTTTTAAAATTACCAAAACGTGATACGTGTCATTTAACGAGAAATTTAATGGCAGTTATGCTCCGAGCACCTGAGGTGATGGCAGTTATGCTCCGAGCACCTGAGATGACAACGTTTGTAACATTATGCATTTGGATGATTAAAAAAATGAGCACCTATTTAGAAAAAAATGGTATAGTTTGAAGTTTGAACACTTATTTTATAATTAAGTCTTTTTAGAAATTGATTCGTGTAAATTAAGGAACTAATCTTTGGGATTAGTTGAGTTTGTGCTCTGCTAATGATCTTTCCTTTTAGGCTAAATGGGCAGGAAAAGAAACAATATTTTAGGTTGGGTAAACTATGTATTTTGTAATAAAATTATTATTAATTTATTAAAGGATTTTAAATTCACATTTTATTAATGAAAAATATCATTGAAACTAAAAGAGCTTTATCCGATTTAAGATCCGAAGTAATCAAATGAGTTGCCGACAGGACATTGACATTGAATTACACATTTGTCTTTCAGGAATACAATTCGACCGTAGCTGTCTCCTACTCTCCTTGTCTTTGTAGTCTTTCGATTTAAAATAGGGTAAACTACAGGGGATACAATTAAACTATGGTAAACAATTAATGTGACTATTGATTTTTTAATTAAATCAATCAGACAATTTAATTATTTAATCGATTCAATCAAATTATCGGTCGTTAATTTTTAACAGAAGTAGTGATGTGTCCGTTAAGCTTAATTGACATAATTATATATTTGGTTCTTAATATTTATATATTCTATCAATTTAGTCACTATTTTAATTTAATTAAATAAATTTAATTATTCAATTAGAATGTGACACGTGCCAATATAAGATTGAAAGATTTTATTTATGAATTTTAAATTGTTTAATTAAATAATTTTTTAACCCAATCAGATGGTGACACGTGTCACCACCCAATGAAAGTGAAAATTAAAGGGACAAAGTTGCGCTCCAAGGGAATAAAACCAAGGTCACGTGAGGGAAGGGGGAAGATAAACCAGGCGCCCAAACTATTGGGCCAAAGGTCCCCAATGATTTAAAGTTACAACAATTTGTATTTGACTTGTAAAAGTTTATTAATGATAAAAAATTAAACAAATTAGTTGTTTAAACAAATTATTATTTAAATTAATTGTATTGTTTTTTGAATTAAAAATATTCAATTTTTATATAAATTATAAAATTTTAAAAAAATCATTAATTCAGTTCGATTAATAATTTTCAAATAAATTTCGGTTCAATTAATGGTGAAAGAAAAAAAATCAGTTAATTCGGTTCGATTAATAATTTTCAAATTAATTCGATTCAGTTAATAATTTTCAAATAAATTTTGGTTCGATTAACATAACTGAATTAACTGAATTTTTGCTTCGATTAATTCAGTTAATAATTTTAAAAAAATTTGGCTAATTTGGTTCGGTTAATAATTTTCAAATAAATTTTTGTTTGATTAACTGAACTGAATTAACCAAATTTTTTTCTTTAACCATTAATCGAACCAAAATTTATTTGAAAATTATTAGTCGTGAATAATTTATTTAATTTTTTATCCTTAGCAAACCTTTAAAAGACAAATACAAATTGTTGTAACTTTAAAGCATTGAGGACCTTTGGCCCAATGGTTTGGGTGCCTACTCTATCCTCCCCCTCCCTCGCATGACCCTGATTGGATAGAAAAATTATTTAATTAAATAATTTAAAATTCATAAATAAAATCTTCCAATCATATATTGACACATGTCACGTTCTAATTGTATAGTTAAATTTATTTAATTGAATTAAAATAGTGACTAAATTGATAGAATATGTAAATATTAAAGACCAAATATATAATTATGCCAATTAAGCTTAACAGACACCACCTCTGTTAAAATTAACGACCGATGGTTTGATTGAGTTAATTAAATAGTTGGGTCGTCTGATTAATTCAATTGAAAGTTCGGTAGCCACATTGAGTTTTTACCATAGTTTAGTGGTCTCCTGTGTAGTTTATCCTTTAAAATATTAAAAAATCCTTAAATTTATTATTTTATTATGAATATTTATTTATGTGGATGCCTATCTCTATCTTTTATTTTTATATATAACATAGGGTTTTGATATACTTTATTATTTGGACTTTAATATCATTTAGAGTTAGAGTTAAAGATCAAATGTTGTCTACATTTAATTTGAGGTAAGCCATCTATCTTTTGTGGTTCTTTTTTCTTATATATATATGTGAAAGAAATTATTATACTCTTTCACTTCTAAAAGTTTTTGTTGTTATAATGATTATGCAAAGACATTCGGAGTTCATACTTAAAAAATATATATTATCTACAACATCAAATGTTAAGATGAATTTCAATTTTCATAATGACTCTTAATATTTTCGCTTTGAACCAACTTGTTTTTCCAATAGTTGTCTTGTGCAAGCATATTATGTTATTACTTCAACTTTTAATGCAGCAATATAACACTCTCTTACCGCTCGTCACCGAACACAAGTCAGAGATATCCATGAAACTTACGAAATTTATATTATTAAAATCTATAATAATTTGTTTCTTTAAAATTATCATCACCAACATAAGCTAGTTTACAATTTATTACAACCTATGTTTGAGTAAAGTTTATACCAAATACTAATAACATATAAATGTCAACTAATAAAATCAATAAATCATATGGATGTCATTACTGATACTATAGGCATACTTCTCAATAGATAAGATGTCCAACACTCCCTACTCAGATCTTTATTATTTACCTATGCATGAAAATCATCACATGCTAAGTATACACTTAGTGAGACATTATCAATAATACGAAGTAAAACATATCAATGGCATAAAATAAATCATATAATAAAAATACAAAACATCTCATATGATATTATATGAATATATAATATGAACTTATACCAAAGTCATTTCCAATTCAAGATACTTGAAATCATCAAGTCAAATATAAAGTATTTTATGCTAAGTCACTTATAATAAATAGAAAGTTTAACTTTCTCACTTATTTATCATAACACGTACTTTTCAAAGTTTCTTTATGTCATAGATCAAGGTATATAAATGAGAATGCAAGGTATGAGAGTCACTAATAATGCATGTTTAATGTCGAATCACATGTATAAAGATACCTTCAACACATATGTATCAATATACCAAAGGTCGGGAATATTATAGCACCATCAACACATATGTGCTATATAATGTATCTGAGAGTACGATAGTACCATCAACATATACGTACTATCTAATGTATTGTAGTACCATCAACACATACATACTACGTACCCGATGCACCTACTATTACTCTATGACATGATAACTATACTAAGAACTCTCAATGTACATACAATGAGCATTTTTCATTAATTATCACTTGTTAATCAATTATCATATATAACAATATATTAAACATTTCATATAATAGCACAATGGGCAATTTATACCCTAAATATTTTATTTTCACATAACATTAATATATCATTAAAATACCATTAATCACATTCCTTTTTAACATATAAACATTCATATTCATCATATAATAAAAATCATATATTTCATGCCAATATAATAGATTGGCTTGTCTCAAGCCTTTACAATGACCTATAACATAAAAGTAACATAAAATGCATGATTTACTCCTCATTTCCCTATTCTGGTAGCTTGCACTACCCTTAAAGAATTATTTTTATGTATTAATCTACACACTAAATTCAATTCCATTTATTCCACTAAAAACTATATTCGAATACAAATTTAATCATAAAAAGTACCTTTTTTAGTTCAACTTGTATAATTTATGGTGAATTTTCTAATCCAACTTACAAATTATATTTTGAGCAAAATTCGTTGCCTTATTTTCTTACTTATCATCGATCAAAAATTCATATATTCTAATATACACTTCGAAATCAGTCTTTTGTTTTAAATGAAACTAGATTGACATACAAATAAAATGATATAAGAATCACCTTCTAAACATTTTTATAGAATTTATGATGATTTTTCAAATCTACTATCAAGATCATAAAATATAGACATATTTCACTATTTTGCATTTTTAGCTTATTCACTAGTTATACTAATCTTCTAAATATAAATTTAACTTAAATACATCCATCACAAAGTCACATGATATTCAAGAGTCACTTGTTACAATAGTAACTCAGTCACTGGCACATCGCAAACCAATGATTACATTTAACATAAATACACTATAAATGTGTACTCACCTCGACACTTTAAACATCAACCAAAATGTAATCCTCTTGAAAGCTTTATATGAACTCTCATCCTTTCCTTTGTTAATCACTTCATCTCGATTGAACTTGGATGATTCACAGTGGTAGGTGGACGTAGTTTCTCGACCACTTTAACTTTTGCCTTGTCTACCTTTATCCCTTTGTATGAGATTTTATGCCCTAAAATGATGCTTTTGGTCACCATGAAATAACACTTTTCCCAGTTCAACACTAGGTTGGTTTCTTTGCATCTCTTCAGCAACTTTGCTAAATTGCCAAGGCATTGTTCAAAATCATCGTCAGAGAAGGAGAAGCCATCCATAAAGATCTCCAAAAAGTGTTCCACCATGTTTGAAAAGATGGCCAACATAAAATTTTGGAAGGTTGTTGGAGCATTGCAAAGTCCAAATGGCATCCTCCTAAAGCAATAAGTACCATATGAAAGTGAATGCATTATTCTCTTAGTCCTCTAGCGTATAACAATATGGTCATACCCTGAGTATCCATCGAGGAATCAATAAAAGGATTTACCCGCTAATTGATCAAACATTTGATCGATGAAATGAAGGGGAAATGATCTTTCTTGGTTGCCTTGTTGAGCTTGTGATAGTCTATACAAATCCTCTATCTAGTCACAGTTCGTGTGGTTAGGATTTCATTTTCCTCATTGCTAACCACGATCAAGCCTTCTTTCTTGGGCACACACTACACCGGGCTAACCCATGAATTGCTGGATATAGGGTAGATTACCCCAACATCGAGCCACTTTATAATCTCCTTCATCATTATTTTCTTTATATATGGGTTAAGTGTTCTTTGAGGTTCAACAAAATTATTGTGGCATTCATCAAGCAAAATCTTGTGCATGCATATAATAGGCTTATTCCTTTTGAATCAGCCATAGTCCAACCTAGAGTTTTCTTATGTTGTGCTAAGATATTTATCAAACAATGTTCTTATATAGGGTTAAGATTGGAATAAATTATCACAAGAAAGGTTTCATCACTACCTAGTTAGGCTTTAACTTCAAGGTAGGTGCATACGGTAGTGAATGTTTTAGAGGAACAATTTCATCAAATACAGATGAATGAGTATGAAAATATTGTGGCAAAATAGTATAATATACTGAGATAAATGAATGAAAAGTGTTGAGGAAAAGTAAAGTTGAACTCTAGGGAATGAAATAAGACTTGGCAACCTCACATAATCGAGCTACAATAGAGATAAATGGTCAGGTTTACTAAGGGATATTATACCTTGTCTTTGGACTGGTTCACCTTTTCTAAGAGTATGTTTCTCAATAATATTTATTAAAGTGTTCCTATGATATCTTCAGTAAGGAACCTAATAATGAAAATGCTACGATAATACCTCTCAACGTAAACAGTAACATAATAATATCGACTAAGTCATATTTCTTTTAGTCATTGAAACCCTTTCTTTATCTCTAAGGCGGATTAGAGCCTCACTATCCCAGCTTAGCTCCATTGTTCACGTCGATATAACCTAACTCTCTAGATATTAGGTATCCAAACTTAGAAAATGATTAACTCTCAAAAGCTCTTACAAGTATAACCTATAGCATTAAAATAATAAACAAAGTAACATTTAAACTTGGAAAATATACATCATTCATTCGAAACAAAATATAATCATCCAAAGTAAACCCTATCCAAATAAGTTAGTTCATGGTTGGGATAAGTTCATCCATCATCGTTATTCGTTTAATATGAACCCACATAGACAATAAAAATGAAAAACACAAAGGAATAAGAAGAACTCCCAAACGTGAGCCACCGCCATGAGTTAGAACTGTTGCGTTAAACTACCTTAGTAAATTTGGTTCCTCTCGAAGACCCAATTACTATCCCCTTGAGCTTGGCTATGGAGGACACCACGAAAAGGAAGGAAAAAAAAAGAGAAAAATTGAAGCTTTTTGTGCAACAGTTTTTCTCTTATCTCTTAGTTCACTCTTTCTAAAAGCTCCCTTAATTTAAGATGTCATTGGCTATTTATACTAGGGCATTTTCTAGGGTATTGTGCCCTAAAATTTTCTTTGTACCCTATGATTTCACACCCTTCACGTGAGGAATGAGGTAGGCTGACATGTGGTCCAAAAAAGACAACTCGGTAAGGCATTCACTTGTGGTGGGACAACATGGAAACAAAATATCTTTGTCTTTTTGTCTTTTTTGTGCCTAGAATTGTTGTCCAAAATACTATAGCAATTCTTTGTCCCCTTCAGCTTCAGTTGTCTACCAAATTTCCTTGTCCATAATGCCATGAAAACTCATTACTTCTCCGTTAGTTTTCTTCATCTGCACATTATTAACAAAACCAAGACCTTTCCCCTTCAGCAGTATCTGTTTCAAAAATATAATGTTGCATCAAAACATTACCACCACATGCAAATATATAAACCTAAATGCAACTATATGAAATGAAATGGGCTTTTAAACAACCAATAACCTAAGTAAAAAGGAAGAAAATATAGTCTTTTTATGGGCTTATCAATAGGCATCATACAAAAATGTTCCATAGTACACCTTCGTTTAAAGAGAACAATGTGTCGTAAAGTGTAATGCCCTAAATTCTAGGCGAAGAGTCTTGGCATATCTCGAGAGGGCCTTAAATAAAAATTTCCATAGCTTGTGAGAAGCCTTGTCCATTTAGGTTGGGTTGGGCTTAGCTTGAGCCCAACATGTAATAAAAATAACATTTTTAAACTTAGAGCAAATGAGGAATGACTAATAGGGAAAATATCCCATCTTTTGAAACAAAGGCTAAATCCCATTTATGTTTGATGATATCACGTCTGAAGCCTTATCTTTTCCCCCCATTTTCCCTTGTCTTCTTTTTTTTTTTCTCCATTTCATTCTTCCCCTCTAAGAATTAAGTAGAGGTTGAAACTTTGAAGTCTTACAAGTCCGATTTGGGAACACCAAGGTAAGAGTTGTAATCTAGTCCTCTAACTTTCTACAAACCTTTAAAATAAGATTTGGCCAAGTGACAAAAAATGAGGGTTTAGTGGGGGTTTGAGGAACCATTTATTTCCAACTCATTTTTTTTTATAGATTTAAGTTCTAGGAAATGTCCTTAGCCTTATTCCAAGTTATTAAGGGTTAGTAACTCATTTTACTTGTTATGATTAGTGAAAGAGATTGGATAAATTTCTAAGACCAAAGGCAAAGAGAAGTTGGTTGTTGGGTGAGTAAGGACCTTTTCCAATATCATAGCACTAAGGTAACACATTTATGACTTTATTATGCCACTTGTAGCTCATTAGTTGTGCATTATGGGTCATTTTAGTTCATGAAGCATGTTGGAGCATTTTATGGTAGTTTTAATTTTTGATGTTATTCAATATAAAAAATGACTCATTTTAACCCCTAATAGCTCAAATAAGAGTTAAACATAGTTTAGTGACCTTAGTATGACAAATGAATAGAGTTAAGGCATATTTTCATGCTCAAAAGAGAGCATTTATGGGTAAGAGTATCGGTATTGTACGAACAATATTGATATTGTTCTTTGTATAGCCCTAAATAAGGTGTTTTGAGGCTGTGAGTATCGAAATTCATTCAAAGGGTATTGATAATGTTTCAAGAGTATTGATACTCAAGGTGGAGTATCGATACCAAATTTAGATTTCAGATTTCAGTAGCCATTTTTAGTATCGATACTTGATGGAGTATCGATACCAGGAGGGAGTATTGATACCCTACGTAAGAGTATCGATACTCATCTAATTTTTTAAACATCAAAGCCATTTTTGGTATCAGTACTCGAAATAGTATCAATAGTCAACACCCTCATACATGAGTATCAATACCCCAGCTAAGAGTATCAATATTGAAGATTTTTCCAAAACATCAAAGCTATTTTTAGTATCGGGGATAAGTATTGATACCCAAAGGTCAGTATCGATACTGTGAGACCCAGTATTTATACCCTCACCCTATATAACCCAAATCGATTTAGGAGTTCAGGTAGGGGAATTAAGGGTCATCAAAACTTTGTGAATAAGACTACAAGTTTGAACCACCGAAATAATTACAATTACAACTAGGAACGGTGTAAATCAGGATGACATAGAACTAGCCTTATGTGATACTCGAGAAACAACCAGGACACCCGAGTTATTTTGGTAGTATGATGATCGTCTTTCATGATGAAATATCTTAATATAGCTTTATTAGTGCGTTAGGCACTTCAGTTGCCAACTGGGCACAGTTGCCCAAGACTCCACGGAATAAGTTGGTCGCGTGTATGTTTTGATTTAGGAAATCTCGTATAGCACTCTAATACTCGAGGGCCTAAAAATAATCTAAGGATGTACGTTTCTAATGCAGAAAATTTTGTATCTCACTCTAATACCCTCGTATTTTAGGTAGGCTAGGGTGTGGTTTTGAGATGCACAAAATTTTTCCGACTACACCACTAAACCTACCTCTACATGTTATTGACTTCTTTGTATGCCATGACTTCACTTGCTAGCATGTTCATGTAATGAATGCATATAGTATATCATAGTTATTAGTGTGGCACTAAGTTTGTGGCCTCAACGTTAGAAATTTGTTTCCGTGCGCAGGTTAGTAGAGAGATCGATGAAGAGCTTATCGCGTAGTCATATTCCAGATCAACCGTTGTTCGGAGTATGTCGTCAGTCTTTTAGAGGACATGTATTATCATGGACCATTGTAATATTTCAAGTCATAACTATATTTAAAACTTCATGTATTTTGGAGATTTATCATTTGCATATCCTGTATTTTGTAATTTGAAATATTATGTCTTATTTTACGAATTTTATGTATGTTTTTCATATGATATTTGCAAATGTTTTTAAGAAAATTTATGGTCAGCCATTTTTGTGGTCCATGTGATACTTTAATCCTTTGATTCTTTGAATCAGATCAGATTAGGGTGTTACATAAAGACCTGAAATATATTCAAGCCAATTATTGGGATAAATCTCAGCAAAAAAATGAAAAAATATGAGGCAAGAAACAACAATTTCTTGTTTGTTTTGAACGATATGGGATAACTTACATTTGAATACTTGTAAGAAACCAAGATTACTTTGCATATTTACTTAACATGTCTATACGTAGAAAATGGTTTTCTTCGTGACTTGAATCTTTCATCATATTACTTTATGGAGATTCAACCAGAGGCGTATGAAGAATAAGAAACAATACAATCACTTAATTTGTTATTTTATTCTTTAAATAGTGTTGCTAATTATAAAAGTTAAATCTTACACATTTTCATCTACTTAATTGGTTGCAACGTAAGAGCAAAAGTAAAACAAAGCTATCATAATTAGTAGTAATGAAATAATAAGATTAACAGAAAATGCATTTCCTAATTAGTTATATTCTTGCCTCAACAACACTGGAAAGTTTAAGGTACTATCCCCGTTAAGGGAAAGGTTTAAAGAAAGAAGTTATAGTGGGGAGAAGTGGATTTGGTTCAATCGACTATAAATACATTGATACAATTCCTTTACAAAACATGTTGATTCTGAAATTCACATATATGATGATTTTCAAAAGAATGAGTTAGAAGCATTTAAGTCATGAATAAAGGTTTACAAAAGCATATGGTGATAATTTGATCGTACAAAGTTTCATTAAAATGGTGCTGTAGAAATATCATAAATGGCAGTTATCGTCATAGCAAAGAGTTTCAGTTGTCTCTTTCCTTATTTTCTAACCACTACAAAACTAAGGCATCAGATTAGCCAAATTTTATCTCAGCACCCGCTTGTGAAATAATAATGTAAAGAAAAATGAGACAAGATTTTTTTAACTCACAAATTTTAGAGGGTGTAACACCCCTTCCTGTATTCAATCCTGAATACGAGTTAGAGATGTCACATGATACTTGTAAAATATTTCTTATCTAAAAATCAATAAACTTTTGTTACATAATATTTATGCAAAATTGTTTAATCGAGTAAAATCAAAATATAAACTTTTTACCAAAATTGTTTAATCGTGTAAAATCAAAATATAATAAATTATCATGCAAATAAAGCTCGATTTTAAGCAATGATTTGGAAGTTCACTTATTATGCGTATATATGTCGACTAGAAAACAAATAATCATAGGATGTCATTACTGATACATATAAATGTTCTTTATTGATTGATGCCAAAATCAACTCCTTACTTCACTTGCTCTCATTTACCTACACATAAAAATCATCACACGCTAAATATTCACTTAGTGAGGCACATATAAATTTAAGGCTTTTCGAAATATAAAATATTAAAATAATTAAAGTACTAGGAATGTCATATAAAAATATATGAACATATAAAATTGACTTTCAAACCTCTTTCTTTATACTGTAACCTATAAAATCATATATATATAACACTTATAAAGTCAAAACAAATAATTCTATAAAACATTAACTTTCTTTCAAATCATATAGCATGTATAAATACTTCATCATACATAAGGTGTATTATGCCAAATCAAAATACTTAATGAACCATTTGTTTTCATTTAAACCAAACTATTCACATATTCAATTTATAGCCAATGTAATAATGTTATTAAATTATCAAAGATATCAACATATACAACTTTTCATATAATAATGCAATGAGAAATTCATACCCTAAACATTTCATTTCTACATAACATGTGTATATCATGATCATCATCAATTACTTTTGTTTTAACATATACACATCATATTCATCATTTAATAAATATCATAACTATCATGCCAATTGTAATAAAGTTTGATCATTTCAAACATTTAAGATAACATACAATATAAGAGTATTATAAAATATATGATTTACCAAATTTAATATTCTCGTAGTTTGTGCTACCCTAAAAAATTATTATGCATTAATATACACACTTAAAAAATATTTTGTTTATACCACTAGAAACTAGATTCAAATACAAATCTAAACATATAAGGCACTCATTCTAGTTCAATTTGTACAATTTATGGTGAATTTTCTTATCTAACTAACAAAAGCTGATTTGAGCTAAATTTGTTGTCCTGTTTTCTGACCTATCATAGATTAAAAATTCATATATATTTTTATACATCTCAAAATTAGTAGAAGTTTATTTTACACAAAACTAGACTGATATACAAATCAAACGGTATAAAAAACATCCTCTAATCATTTCTGTAGAATTTATGGTGATTTTATAAACTTATTGTTTAGATCACAAATTAGACATATTTCACTAATTTGCATCCTTAACTTGTTTACTAATTTTATTATCTTACCAAATGAACATTTATACATGAATAAAAATCACATAACATTTAGGAGTCACTTGTTACCATATTAATTACGTCACTAGCTCATCATCGCAAGTCAATGTTTGCATGATTCATAAATACAACTTAAATATGCACTCACCTGGTGTACTTAGATTGCAAACCTTCCTTCGTAATTCATATTTCATCCTTAAGCTTTTCCTTAGCTTTAATATTGCTTGATCTTGATTTCAATCATAATCTAAATGAACATCATTTACAAAACATATATATTTCAAACCACATGTTATAATCTTACTAAAATATACACACAATATAAATAAATTCCTAAAAATCTTTCAATGCCCATTCGATACTAATTTCATGTCACAACATAAATGTTGATCTAAACACTTGAATTGACCATTCAAGTCCCTTTTTATTAAAATCATCAAAACTTTACATAACATTTTCAATTTTACATTTTAATCACTAATTATGAATTCTTTTAGAATTTATCTCAAATTTTCCATTTTATTAAAAATAGTCATTTGCCATTTAACTTCAATTCAAGCTTCAATTAACATAGTTAGATATTCCAGCATTTAATGCCAACACACTACTTCAACAATTACACAATTTTCACTTATACAAACTTCCAAAATGGGCAATTTCACATTCTAATATCAAATTCAACATTCTAACATTCAATTTTAGAATAGTACATCAATTATTATATAATTGCACATCAACCCCATATTTTTTTATAAATTACAAAATAGGTCCCTAAATTTGTGTAAATTTACAAATTG